CACACACACACACACACACACACACACACACACACACACACACACACCCCAACCTGAGCCTATCTCCTAGTCGTGTGACCCTAGGCAAGAAGTAACTTAACTTCCATCTGCCCTCACCCTAAACTCGGAGAGGTCACTGCAGTTCTGGTCTTCTAGGGCTGTTCAGTCTTTTCCTGGGAGGCCGGGTGTGTAAAACACTTGCCTAGCATCTGGGGTTTCTTGGGTACCATCCCCGGCACCACAAACGCACACACAGAAACAAAACAAACCGATACTATCAATGGGGCAGGAGACCTCCCTTCTTGGGCACTCTCTACCTCATCCTTCTACTCAGCCTGTCAACGCAATCGTCTATAAAGTTCACCTGTCCTTCCTTGGCCGCCTCAGCATCGCCCCTGCCCTGTCACAACCCAGACAGCTCTTGCCTAGGGGCCTGCCACAAGCCGCCAGACCCGAGTCATTTACTGCAGGCTACTTCCATGTTTCAGAAAAACTGGGCTGTACACCTTCCTCTCACTGTGCCTCAGCCCCTTCGAAAAAGTCCAGCTTCTACATAACCAAAGATCCCCGATAAATCTTAACCGGCATTCTGAAAAAGATCACTATCACTAGTGACCCACAAGCGACCAGGACCTTCCTTGCTCACCGCGGCCTCTGCAAGTGCCCTCCATTGCCCCGCCCAGGCCCTGCAAAGTGGATCGACTACTCCCAGCACCACCCCCCGCCCTTGCACACTATCCAATCACTACCCGTCCTGATCCGCCAACATCCGGGCCCTAATGCCGAAGGCTCAGCGAACACCAGGCCCCAGCCACGTGCGCAGAGACTTCTGGGCTTTGTAGTTCCCCAAGAAAAGTGAGCAAAGAGCTAGCCTAGCAGAACTCCATCTCCCAGGAGTCACCGCGCCCGCCCGTTGTGAGTGCTTAACAGTTTGAACCAGGTGGTTCTTCCAAGACTGATTGGGAGACAGCTGGTTCAAAATTGCCATGAAACAAAAATCACTTACCTGAAAGTCAGGGAGCGTCTTTTTGCCCGAGAATCTCAATATTCTGCAATGACTCCAGAATGGGGCTGGACACAGGTGGGGTAAAATCTGTCCCCATGGCCTGTCTGGATAGTACCAGGGAAGGCCCGTGGAGTACACCCAGAGCCTACTAGATGCCTGCCTGACACAAAAAGCCACTCCTTGGTGGACTCTATGAGAGTTGACAGATGAGTGCAGAACGTTACTATTTCCAGCAATAGGCCAGAAGGGGGCTTTTTACCCTGGAAAAGGCAAATGTGGGCCAAGATCATTGTATCCAGGATGTGTCTATGGTTCTACAGCCCACCAACTTCCCTCTGCCCTGTGCCTGCACCAACTATGATGTCCCAAGGAGGGATAATATACCCACACCACAAAGCACCCTTTCCCACACAACCTTCCCCACCATGCCTCTGAGGGTCAGGAGAGGGAGCCAAGGCCCTGCAAACGCTCAGGCAGGCATGTGAGAAAGCTCTTTACTGGGGGGTACAGCAAGGAGGAGCAAGGCCATCTCCCCCTACCTGCCCCCACCCCCTCCTAGGGCCCTAGGGTGAGGGGCAATCTCCCCTCTACCGGACCACCACTGTCTTTGGTACAATAAATAGAAAACAAGGGGGGAGAGGGGGCCAAGGGTCCAGTCTTAGTGGGAAGGGTGCGGCCAAAACCCCTCTCCCTTGATCCCCTGCCCTGGGCCCCAATCAGTGCAGGCCTCACCCACCCCAGCTGGGTAGCAGCAAGTCCAGTCAAGGGGAGAGATGAGGATGGGAGCCCAGGGCCCCCAGATGGGGGGGGTATGGCTTCAGGAGGGGCCCCAGGGAGGGGGCAGGGTCATGAGCTGGCTGCTGTGCTCTGGGGTACGCCATGGAGGCCCAGGCGAGGCCCCAGAGTGGCAGGGTCATCAGGGGGTGGGAGAGGTGGTCGACCTCCCGTCATCCGAGTCCGGAGGGCTGAGGCAGCCGGGTGCTGGGGGGCAGGTGCTGGATGAGGTGGAGAGCATTCTGGAGGGCTGCCCACCAGGCTCACATCCATCAGCTCCGGGGGTGGTGGTGATGTTGGTGATGGGGGACGTCCAAGGCATCGGGGTTGGGGGGGGTAACTGGGCCCCAGTCCCTGGCAATGTCGAGGCGGAGGTAGGGGCTTGATGTGTCTTGTGGGGCACATCACCCCCTGCCCAGGGACGCAGAGGCTGGGAGGGTATAACCTGAAAAACAAAGGAATAGAGTATTGAGATCCTGGAGCCTCAGGTACCTGGCATCACCCTCCGAGGCCTCACAGCTCCAGTACCTGGGGGCTGTTCATCTCACAGTCGGTGATGGGGGGCCCAGGCCCTCCACAATATCGGTTGCTGTAGCGGTAGGCCCTGTTGTCACTGGAGGAGCCACTGGAGCCTCCTGGAAACACCGGGATGGAGAAAAAGGGGCAGAGGCGCTAAGATGTGTGGAGTCTATTCAACACCTAGACCCCAAGATTGACCTTTGAGACCAGAGTCCTTGTGAAGGCTCTAAAAACCCAATTTTGAAATCTAAGATCAGAGATTGTGTGGGAGGCAAGAGTCAGTTTTAGGGGCTAAATCCCAAGCCTGGATTCAGAGATTCTGTTGGTCACGCGGGACTGTCCCGGACTGTCCCACCCACCCCTTTACCCTGGGGAGCTCAGAATCCGGTAGCTCTAAGGCTCTAGGACAGAGCACCAGTAGTAAGGCCTCCCAGGCTGGGCCCTGCAGCACACATCTGACACGGGGCACCCACCAGAGCTGGAGATGGAGCTGGCGGTGCTAGAGGAGGGGCAGGTGTCGAGGGGCGCCGGCGAGGTGGAGGCACTGCTGCCTGCCGGGCCCGTGTTGGTGGCCTCGTCGGCCGTGCGGCGGAAGAAGCCGTGCTGCAGAGCGCCCAGCGGGCTGATGCGGGCGGCGGGCTCATATTCCAGCATGCGCAGCACCAGGTCCTGGAAGCGGAGGTAGTCGGCGGGGCTGTGGCCCGGCTCCCCCGCCCGCCGGCCCCCGGGCCCGCCCGTCTGCACGCCCAGCACCTCCTGCAGCCGCCGTGTCCCGGGGCCCTGGTAATCCTGGCAGGGAGGGGGTGGGAGGGGGGGCAAGAGAGTGGCCGTCAGTGGGCAGGAGGGGCAGGGAGACACACATGGGGAGACAGAGGCACAAGAGAGGAAGAGGAAAAGAGAAGCTAACAAGAGCTGTGGGATGGGGTGGGATGGTGATGGGGTGGGCAGGGGAGGAAGGAAAGGACAGATAAGGGGGAGAGAAAGACCGGGAAAGACACAGGGAGAGGGGAGCCCCAAGTGTGAGTGAGGGGCCACCCAGGGAGGGAGAAGTGGCACAGGGCAGGGGCCGCACCTTCCTGAGTTCCTTTGTCCTTCGTAGGGTCCAGCCACCCCCAGGCAGCCGCTCAAAGTACTTGCGAGCCTTGGGTGCCTGTTCCAGCATGGGCGCAGGTGGGATGCCCAACACCTCGACAATTCTGCTCATCTGGTCCACCTGCGGGCAGGCGGCGGTCAGGGGCGCCGGGTGGCCAGGCTCCACCCCTCCACCTCCAGCACACCCCTTCCAGGGGCACACCTCATTGGAGCCGCTGAAGAGGGGCTCTCCGGTGTGCATCTCCACAAGGATGCAGCCCAGGGACCACATGTCGATGGCCAGGTCATAGGGTGTGCCCAGGAGCACCTCGGGTGAACGGTAGAAGCGGCTCTGGATATACTGGTAGATCTGGGGAAGGGGGCAGTAGTCAGGGCACTAACTCCCCTGCTGGTTTCACTGAACACTCAACTGAAAACAAGTCCCTGCTTGAGAACAGGATGGAGCCTCTAGGCTCTCAGCAACACTGCACAAACCAGACACTGCCTTGCTCATGAGCTTCCAGTGCTAGTTGGCCTGATTTAAACCTGTCTCCATCCCCAGCTCTGGCCCCTTTTAAGAGAGGCTGGCTATCCCATACTGAATTAGACTAACTAGTGTAACTCCTGTCTGCTTACACAAGGCTGCAAGACTTAAAGGTCTTCTACCTGTGTGACCTGAGGAGCACAAGTAAGCAAAGCAGAGCTCAGGCGCAGATCTCAGCTTTACTACTCTGAGGAGCTGCCTGCCCCTCAGGGTCACCTTCTTTCTTCCTTGCTTGGGTCTCCTGTGCCCCCTTCATCTCTGACTCCTTCCCTCCAGGGGTCCTCCCTATGCCTAATGTCATCATCTCTCAAGTATCAGCTCCCAAGACCAAAACAAAGCCAACCCATGCCATCCCACCCAAGACACTGGCCCTGCCCAGAGTCAGAGCCGCACCCGCTGGCCAAGCTGGCAGGAGCTGCCAAAGTCCACAATCTTGATGGCACTGCGCTTAGGATTGCAGAGCAGGATGTTCTCAGGCTTGAGGTCGCAGTGGATAATGCTGAGCTCAGGCGTGGCCAGGAAGAGCAGCGCTGTGCAGAGCTGCTGCGCCAGCTTCCGAGTCAGGTTCAGTGAGACACCTCGGAAGTGTGTGTTGCGCAGGAGGTCGTACAGGTTGTAGGACAGCAGCTCAAACACCAGGCACAGATGATTCCGGAACATGAAGTGCCGCTTCAGGTGCACTGTGGGGAACCATAGGCAACAGCTCAGAGACAGGTGACAGGGCAGATGGCCTGGGGCCACACAGCAACCACCTCTGCTAAACTGCTGTGAGCCCTCAGGTATTTGTGCACTGGGCTCAGTGGACTCACACAGCATGCTAACTCTCCTGAGGCTCTCAAACCTCCTGATTTTTACTAAAAGGAAGGTTTCTGCCAGCAGGGAATAGTAAACACGACTGTAATCCCAGCACTTGGGAAACTAAGTCAGAGGATGGTTGAGTTCAGGGCCAGCTTGGCACACAGTGCAGCCTGGAATTGTAAATTAAAAAAAAAAAAAAAACAAAAAAACCCCAAAACGTGGTATAACTTGAGGGTTACATTAGTGTAGGGCAAGGATGACCAAAGAAGGGTTGGAGCATGTTTGCCTAGCAAGCACAAGGCCCTAGGTTCAAGCTTCAGCACTGCAAAGGGAAAAATCAAACACGCTGTCACCTCTTAATAGAGCTGCAAAACAATTCCAGGCTTCCTCATTTCACAGCACAACACGGAGCCAGGCCTGGTGGTGCAGGCATGGAGACCAAGGTCTTCAGATGCAGAGAGAGTGTGAGCTCAAGGCCTGCCCGGATAACTTAGTAAAAAGGGGTCTGGAGATGTAGTTCTGGGATGAAGCCCTTGCCTAGTGTGTATGAAGTACTGGGTTTATTCCCTAGGATGGCAAAACAAAGCCGCAAGAAGTACCACCACCACCAAATGAATAAATGAACCTGCCTTCCTTTTAACGGTATCTATCTTTGTGGCAAGGGACACTGGTTGTCCTTTTAAGAGTCTGTCAGTACCTTTCCAGAGGAATGGGACACATCTCGAGAGTCAAGAGTTCCAGAGACTACTGCTTCTCAAATTATTAATTCTGTTGTATATAAACTGTCACCACATGTATGTGACAGCACTGAGTGCCTCAGTTTCCTGTCTTCAACATGTGCACAAAACTGCCCTCTCTGTCACCGGGCGGGGGTGAGGTAATTCATGTGAAGTGTCTGCAACAGTCTGGCCCTTAGTGAGCACTGGCTCAACACTGACCACTGCTAATCAGGTAAGCAGAAGAGCAAAGCCATGACCGCAGCAGGAGACCCTTACTGGTGGTATCTCTCCCACAGGCGTCGGTACTCACCTATGTAGTACTTCATCTCTGTGTCATGCTGGTTCATCAGCTCCAGCAGCCGCAGCTCAATCTGTGCCTGGTTCAGGAAGGCCTTTTTGTTCTTGATGATCTTGATGGCCACCAGCTCCTGGGTCTGGTGATCATAGGCCTTCACCACCTGTAGAGACATGGAGAGTTACCTGGGGAGGTGGGAGGCCCACCAGCCACACCTTTCCAACTAACAACTCACAGCCCAGCTCTCACAGCCCTTGTACTGGATACAAAATAACACAGTTCCCTTATGTGGAGTCTTGTTATTTATACTTCTACAGAAACTGAAACAGAGGGATACTAAGTGGCCTGAGAGACTGGCCAGGACAGGTTGGCAGCAAGTGACCACTGGGGGTAGAGGGAACCTGGGTAAGGTTAGTAGCTGTCTGCATCCAGACAGTGGATGAGTGGGGGAGTCCCACACCTGGCCAAAGGAGCCTTTGCCAATAAGAGAGTCAATCTCATAGCGTTCTAGCCAGCGCTCGCCACTGCGCACAATGTAGTCGTGGTTGTCGTCGTCATAACCGTGGTTCAGGACCTTCTTCTCCTTTTTGGTGCTCGAGTCCTGGGGTGGCGCCTGTTGGGCCCGCCGCTTCTTCTTCGCATAGTATACCTGCTCAGGCAGCCGGGAAACCGGACCCTTGAGTGACCTGGGCAAGCAGCCAGGACCCTTTCCAGCACCCAGCCAGGGAATCCCATTTCCCACCTACCTCATTGATGTGCTTGTAGGTCTTGATGAGGTCCACTGAGAGCTTGCGCAGTGGGGCTGAGGTTGCGTCCCGGAAGGCCAGGGGTAGTCTCCGAGGCAGTATCCGCACATCAGGCAATACCTGTGGTGGAGACGGGCAGACACTCAACACAGGCCTTCACCTTCAACTTCCAGGAAGATGAACTTCCAGGCCTGTCACACACTGGGGTCCCCCAGATAGCTGTTCATTGTGTGATGGAGTGAATGATTTGCCGTCCACCCAGCCCCTTGTCAGCTCATTTGCTCTCTATATTTTTCTCGGAATCTCAGTGAACACCTGGACTGAATGAGAAACTTGGGGTCTTTGCACCCGAGAGCAGTTTTGGGGACCCAGGCCGCTGACTTCCCTGTAGCTCCAGCTCCATGTCCTCACCCTCAGATGAGTGTCTGCCTAGTTCCTAAAGCTCTTGGACTGGAATTAGACTTCTTGGGTTTCCCACTATCCTCAGCTCACTTTCTTTCCCATCCCTTTGATTTCCCTTCCAGGTTTTTCACTCCAGACCACTGGCTCGGTGTGGACACTAAGACCTGTGTTCTGGTCTGTTGTGTGCCAGTGACAGTTCTGAGCTTGACAAACATTAACCACTCTGTGAGAGACAGAGGGTCATGGAGAAGTGCAGTGATTTGGTTCCCATAGCAGGAATAAGTGTGGACTTTCCACCCTACCTGAAACCCTGCCAGTATCACCAGGTCTCCAGCATCCTCAGAGATCAGGCTGATGTCTGAACCCTTCCATCCCCAGTCTCTTTCACCCCCTAGGCAGGTGAGAAGACAGCTGAATGCCTACCTGTGTGTGTTCCTGGGGCCCCGGAAAGCCAGAGAAGGGACCATGGCCTGGTGGGACGGCCATGGTGGGCTCAGAGGGCCGCAGGGGTGTGAGGCCTGGAGCGGGAGCCCGGCCGGGGGGCGCCTTCTCGCATCCTGCACCTCGGCTGCCACCGCCGCTGAGACCTGAGAGCAGGTAGGAAGTAGGGAGACAACATGGAACAAGAGGGTATGTGGGTCAGTCAAGCAAAGAGGTAGGCATGAAGAAGACAGGGCAAGGGGGAGGCAGCAGGTAGCAATGCAGAGGGGACAGACACAAGTGGCGCAGCAGTGTTCCTCAACACATGATCAGTCAAATAAATGAGGCAACATAATGACAAAATGTAAAAGGGAATGGTTAGAGTCACACGGGTGGGAGAGAGTGCAAACAGGGCCAGGGCAGGAAGGACACAGAAAGAAGGGCAGAAAGGCCAGTAATTGGGAGAGCAAAAGAGAAGACAGAAACCCTGCAGAGTCTGGGCAATAGAATTCATTTTTCTTTGAATTTCTTCTGGTGCCCATTCAGAGTCTCTCAGATAAAGACCCAACCTTCACATGGTCTTCCCTCAACATCAGGGTCTTCTGGGCCACAGTGAGGGCCCCATTTCGAATCGAGTTTAGAGAACTCCAGGATCCCTCACACCATAGCAGTCCTTGTGGAGTGCCCAGCAAAGATCAAGGTTATCTGAGAACTTCTTTATGTGTGAGTGCTATGGGTGTTTCAACCACCAGGGCACACTTTCCCCTGGGACAGCTCCCTAGGAGTCTCCCGCACCAGGGACCCCTCTCTTAAAATAGTCTATATTTATCCCACTAGGACTTTCCCATAACCCAAGACCACTACTCCTAGGAAAACAAGAGGAAGATGTCCGTTCTCGACAGTTTAAGAGTCACTGTCTTTTTCTCCCTTACACTGGGATCCTTGCTATCTCCTCTATCAGATATTTCTAAACCGGGTCATTCCGCAATTGAGCCTGTTCCTAGAAGGGCCCAACAGCCAAATCCCTAAATAACACACAAGACGTCGCTCCCTGAAAGTGTCCTCCAGAACAAAATCTTCTCCCTAAGAGCCTTCCCCCTGTCAGATTCGTTCTACCCTATGACTCGCCACTCCAGGTCCCCTTTACTGGGGCTTCACCGACAAACAACCTCTTCCCCGGCCCTCCCACACTAGGACCGACTTTCCCAGGTCCCACCCCTACCCGGGTCAGGGCTGGCGCTGGGCCCACGGGGGGCTGGGGAGCGATGGGGCCCCCAGTGCGGTGGGCGAACGGCCAGCATGGCGGTGGTGGCGGCGGTGATGAGAAAGAAGGTGGCCGCCTGTCCCCGGCCTGGCCAGCCTGGCCAGTCCCGCGGCGGTGAGGGCAAGCGGGACAGGCGGCCCGGTGGGTGACAACAGCAGCCGCC